GTGTGTGTGTGTGTGTGTGTGTACGCCTGCATGCATGTGCACGCCTGCATGCATGTGCACGCGTTTGTAGGTTTGTCTCACATGCTCCCTGACCTCCATTAATTTCTCAGCATCGGCTCAGAGTGTGAGCGGTTTACCAGAACATAGTCAGCTAACAGGTGCAACACAGACTGATACTAGTCTGTGGTTTATGCCTGACAGCATAAACACAGAGTTTTCAGCTGCAGATGTAGTGCAGTCTTATACCCATTGTCAGAGCAATGACACAGAGGGAAAGAAGGTTAAAGACTTCTTTATTGATTTTTGGGGCATTGGGAATCTAAGGCTTTGACCGTTGTTAGGCTTCAGGTTATTATTCAAAAAATAGTGATTGCTGTAGGGAATGATGGAAGATGTATAAGCACCCTCTTTAGCATTCACAATCTTCAAGCAATACATTTTTTCAGCCAGAAAATAATGTCTTAAACATAACATATAACAATCCACACTTACTTCCAGTCATTGGGGATGCTCAGAAACTTCAACTGAGGCTGTTCTTGACAAAGATTTGAATAACAAGAGTGAATACTGATGAGTCTATAGCCTCTGACTCTGTACGACAGGTGTATATGTGTTATCCATGTAGCGACATGTTCACATGCATATGTGTGTTTTTGGTGGTGTGCGTCAGCGTAAGAAATTGATTGAAATTGGGCCACCTAGTTTCAGTTTGAGTTACATTACTTGATCCACTTTCTCTTTGTCTTTTGTAACAAGGTTCAAGAATGTTGAATGTATGAATCAGAACCACAGGAGCAGTTTTTGTCAAGTTCTTCAGTAAGGTCACTGATTACTCAGTTCAACGAGAATCAGTAATGGCTCTGTTAATAATCCTTTGTGGTGGTGTACAGAAATTGTGTGTGTATCTTGAGAGAATAGCTTCAAATAACCAGTTTTATCTTTTTTCATGTTGCTAAATTTAAATTCTTTTACAGCCAGACTCTGTAGGTGGCTTGTTTTGTCATCTAAAAAAAAATGGTTTTACTTGAGTCACTTTAATATGAAGAAGTGATGCAATTTTATTATTCAAAATTCTAGGATTAGTTCAAATTATCACCACTATTAGTCAGTTTTACGGTAAGTCAGTGTTAAAATCTTTGCTCAGCGTGTTATCATTTGCCAGCTGTTTCCTGTGTATCTGCATATGTCTTCAACTCTGAGTTCTTTATGCGAGAAATGTGTCTGTTTCCAGTATGGCCTCACAGATAAGACCTCAAAGCCACTAAACAAGTGTGTGTGTGTGTGTGTGTGTGTGTGTGTGTGTGTGTGTGTGTG